ATTTTGTGATCATTATGTTAAAGGTGTTTATGTTTATTGTGGATCAGAGTCAGCCTTTTACAATAAGGACACTGTCCTGTACTTTTCTGGCTCTACTTTTTTTTTTTTTTTGCAGTACTGAGGCTTGAACTTAGGGCCTATACCTTGAACCACTCCACTAACCCTTTTTTGTGATGGGTTTTTTCAAGATAGGGTCTCATGAACTATTTGCCTGGACTGGCTTCGAATTGTGATCCTCCTGATCTCTTTGCCTTCTGAGTAGCTAGGATTACAGGCGTGAGCCACTTGCACCTGGTTTTCTCTGGCTCCTTAAGGTTACCAATGTTGGGTACAGCATGAAGCATAAAAAGTTTGAAGTTGGACTGGAGGTGTGGCTCAGGCAGTAGAGCACCTGCTTTGCAAGTGCAAAGCCCTGAGTTTAAACCCCAGTCCAAAAAAAAAAAAAAAAAAAAAAGTTTGAATCCTGGAGAGGATGAACGAGGGGTCATTTTCCCCTTGACTTGGGAAAAGACGCATTCAGGTCTTAAATGGTGCGGCTGCCTTTCACATTTATGAAGGAGGGTTCAGAAAAGCTGCTTCGAAACCAGACATGATCTGGGTGGTGACTGAGTCAAGGCTTAGAGGAGTGGGTGAGAGAGTGAGGGATTGGGGAAATCAGGAGACAGCTCATTCCCTGGGGAGTCCTGAAGATGGTTATAATAACCATTACTGCAATAATGGTAGGCAGTATAGCTTGGCTGTTCCTTGAACCGTTTCTGTCTCCTCGCTGCCAGTACCCAATGTTCTTTAGCTGCCTTCCTTCCAGGACATTCTCAGTTTTCCCTCACCCATGCTGGTCTTTGTCCTCATTTCTCTGTCTCCAGAGAAAAAAGATCTCTTGGTTATTTCATCTTATCCCAAGGCTTTAAATGTTCTTGGCATGGTAACTTCAAATTCATTTCTTTGACCTGGGCCTCTATGTAGTACTCTAGACCTAACTCTGCTTGAAGGCCAAAGAAGTGTCTCAAGATCAACATGTCCTAAACAAAACTCTTGTTTTCCTTCCCTGTCCACCCAAACTGGCTCCTCTATTCATTCTTACCCATTCTTTTTGTTGCTCAAACCAAAAATATTGGGGCTCGGGATATAGCTCAGTGGTTGAGTGTTTGCCTGGCATGCATGATGTTCTAGGTTTGAGCCTCAGTACTGAAAAAAAAAAATTAGAGTCATTTTTGTCTTTTTCCTTTTTTCACAGACCACATGTAACTCCTCAGTAAGTCTTACTGTCTTTGTCTTCACAATATAGACTGAGTCCAATTTTTACCACTTTTACTCAAGAGCAATTCAGTATGATAGCTTGATGTCTCTTTGCTTCTGCCCTTGTTGCTATCACTAGTCAGTCATGTTTTGGAAATGTGGATCAGAGCATGCCGCCCTTCTGCTTAATTAAAGCCATTTGTTAGCTCTTACCATTTTTCAGAATTAAACTTGGGGTCTTGTCCCCCTGGATTTGGCCTTTGGCTGGCTATCTAAGTTCCTATCTCTCATTGTTTAGCCCTCTGGTTAAACAATTATTTTTTATCTCTTTATTTCACCTCCACTGTTATTTTTTTTTTAATCTCTTGGCTCTGCTTTATTGTTTAACTTTATACTTTCTCTTAGTGATCTGACTTCTTCATTAGAAATTAAGCTCCATGAGGGCAGGGACTTGTTCTCAGTGGATATCTTCAGGTCTGGGCTATGATATACCGTTGCCAAATGACATAATATTTAAACATTTACCTTGTGTTAGACTCTGAGCTAAAACTTGACATGGGTTAGCCGTTAATCCTCACAACTATTCAATAAATTTAGGCACTATTACCAAACCCATTTTACACATAAGAAAATTGAGGTTTATAGAGTTTATTATGTATGCAAGTTATAGATGGATCAAGGATAGTATTTGATACTAGGTCAGATTACTTCCTCCATTGGTAAAATCCTAAAAAATGTTTGTCTTCTAGAAATATTTTCTAGGTTTATTCTTCCCCCTATTTTTTTTTTTGAGATAGTTCTCTCTATATATCTCATGCTGGCTTGAACTCAAGATCTTCCTGCCTTAGCCACTTGAGTGCTGATATAACAGGTGTGCACCCACCATGCCAAACAGAAACTTCCTATTTCTTAATTGATTTAAAGTAATGATTAAGAGTTCAACTATTATTAATACAGAGGAAAAATCCTTTGGTACATTTGAATACTAGCTCATCATCCATGGAAGTAATAGTGGTGCTTATGGGTTTTAGAGGTTACTTGACGAGCCCAAGTAACATCATTGATATTTTATTCCCACATGAAGAATCTTTTTTAATTTGCAAGTTCTAGGATTTAAAAAAAATGTTATTAGGATGCTATAACCAAAAGGATTGCAGGTTTGAGATCAACGTGGGTTATGAGTACCTGCCTCAAAAAACTGAAAAAAAAGTATATATGGAAATATTTCATATAGTCAAGATAATCTATGTGTAAACATAAAGAATGAAATAACTCTACAGACCCCTGTAAAGAACTTAAGTAGAAATTACCAATGCCTTCTGGATGTCTTTTTTTTTTTTTGGTGGGTGCTGGGCTTTGAACTCAGGACCTAAGGACCTCAAACTTTCTAGGCAGGTGCTCTACCACTGCAGCCATTCCACCATCCCTTACCAATGCCTTCTGAAGCCCCTGCTAATTCTCCCTCCTCAAAGAGGTAATAGCACTGTTGAATTTTTGCTTTGTTCTGAAGTGTCTTACATCTTTCATTTGGAAATTGAAAATTTTTAACTATTCGTAAATTTAATCTTGTTTGTCAGAAGTATTACATAAAGAGCTTGCATGTGTGTGTGTGTGTGTGTGTGTGTGTGTGTGTGTGTGTGTCATTGGAGATTGAGCTCAGGGCCTTGCATATGCCAGGCAAGTGCTCTTCCACTGAGCTACATCCCCAGCCCTATAAAAATCTTTTGAAAATTGTGTTTTTATTTATCTATTGATAAATAGTGTTTGTTGTTGATAGAGACAGCAGGTTGGATTTAGGACTGAAGCACAGTAGTAGAATGCTTGCCCAGCATGTACAAGGCCCTAGGTTTGAACTCCAACACAGGAAAAAAAAAAAAAACAGAAAAAGTTGGTTTTTAGGAAAAAGTATTAGTGTCAGAAGCTTTGGTGATCTGGGAGAAAGGAATGCTGAAGAAGAGGAAAAGGATTCCATTCGAATCAAATGAACTCATTGGTGTCACTTTTCATTTTCTTTTCTAAAGAAAGGTCAACCAAAGAGTAAGGTCTGCGAATTAGGTCCTTCTCAAGTTGTTCTTGGCAGAACTGGTAGCTAAATGACTGAATGAAATATGGCTTAAAAGTTTTATAATAGCAAATTTTCTAGAGGGAGTTTAGAAGTGTTTATTTTCACCATGTTTTTGAGTGGTGGAGACTTCTTCAGAGGGCATGTGTGCTCTGCATCTCGTCATAGGTCATTGCTGAGCCACTGAAACCTGAAATCTGGCTCATGCAGTAGGGAACTAGTTTCCTTTTTTCTTGGTAGAGTTTGTGTGGTATATAATCCTTATAGTTAAAACTGGGAAGTTTTAGATGGATAAAGAGAGTTTTAAACAATGTGGTTTTAGGGGGTAGCAATAAACATGTAACTATTCATACATATATTCATATGCATGAAAAGTGCCTTCCTGCCTTTTGACTTGGCAATCTGTGTGTAGAGAATAAATATTTAAATGATGCTGTCCTGGCTAAGAGTGTAAGCTCTGGAGTTCAAATCCTATATAGCTTTATAGCCTTGGGGAAGTTACTTAACCTCTCTCCATGATGGTTTCTTCATCTGTAAAATGGGGATGACAAAACATTTGCCTCATTGAGTGGTTGGGAGGATTAAAGAGGTTGATAAGCAGAAGGTTCTCAGGGCTTGGAGTAACTGCTCTGTGAATGTTGACTGTTACTTAGTCTCGTATGTTGCACCTTTTGGTGGCTATTGTGTCTAGGGAGATGCTCTTTCTAGAACTGTTCCCTCGTCACATGATTGTGAACAGTGGGAGCCTTATTAGTAGTCTGTCAGCATTTTAGGTTGGAATATAAGTGTGTGGCTGTACCCAGTGGAATCCAGCAAGAGAGAGAACTAAATACCATAGCAACTGTTGCTATTTGTGTCCTAAACAGCAGCTGCCCAAGACAGATTTACTTTTTAATCCTGATCTCACTGATAGCCTGAGATGTGGCCCTGGCTTAGAGAAGTGGATTGGTTGAAATGTCCAGTCTTTGAGGAGATTTCATGACCACATGTTAGAAAGATACTGTTCCATGTGAAATATGAGGAGCTAAAGCTTTGTGTGTATGAGAAAGGAAGAGATTAAGCTTTATCATTTAGTTAGTCCCTAAAGTATAGTGTAACTAGAATAATTACGTGACAAATCACTTTCAGGATGGGCAGTGAGACTTCATGTTTTTCAAATAAAAATAATTTTGCTCTATATTATATTCTACAAATGATTTATTAGTGCTCTGTGATTCTATCTAAACACATAATGCATGGATATACATATATACATAATAACTTTATATATTCATTATTATCAACTGAATTTCAGAAATAAGAATATCTTTGCAAGGAATGCTTCATTACCAGACGTTCTTTTCTACTTTTTATTTCTGATGTGTTGAAATATTTCAAGCTTTATGAGGTGCCTTCAAATAGTAACATAACTTATTTCTAAATTTTGGTTGTTAACTAAGGAGGATAAGCATTCAGTCACAGAATATTTACTGAAGACCTACTGTATACCAGGCTGTGTTCTGAATGCTGGTAACTCCCAGTGAATATTGTCCAAGTTCCGTATGTAAATTGTTTCTTAAAAATGTGATATTTTTGTTTTTTGATTGTCCTATTGAGATTCAATGGTATGGTTTGGATGTTTTGAACATACAGTGTAACATCATGTTCAAGTAAAGAACTTGTAACTGAAGGATTAATAGAATTAAATGTCTTCATCCTTTAGGTATTATTAACCCAAAGAACCCAAAGGAAGCACCAAAGTCCTTCAGCTTCGACTACTCTTACTGGTCTCACACCTCGGTGAGTCTCCTGCCTCCCTTTCCTTTCATTTGTTTTTCGCCTTACCCTGAGCAGGTCCAGTTCTCATTTTGTAAGTGTAGTCTAGCATGAGTTCATTGTTTTGATACAAGGAATACTATCTGAAGAACAAAATATGTTCTTTAAAAAATACTTTGGTTAATGGAAGGTTTATATACAACATACATACATATATATAGCTGATTTAGTTTACACTGAATTTATACTGAACCTAATTTAGTCTGATTTAGGCATCCCTTGAGGATTTATTTAGAAGTATCTTAGGATTCTCATTATGAATATTACTCTCCTTATAGATCTTAGGAAGTACCAAATTTTTAGGGAAGTGCTTAATGTATTGTTAGATGTAAATTAAAATTTGAGGGAATGGCCAGGAAGATTGGAATGACCATGGCTCAACATTTTTTTTTTTTTTTTAATTTTAGTAGAATACTGTGGGTTTTGAGCATTTTGAAAGCATCTGAAAGTCCACAAAGAAAGCATAAGATTGCCAACATCAAGAAAAAATGGAGAGTTAGGTCCTTGTGGTACCTTTACTCCATGCAGAACCCATCTCATTCCCTTCTAGGGATTGTTTCTAAATCTGAATTTGCTCAAGTTTCCGCATCATCATCCATCTTTGTTATGTGCTTTAATTTTCCCTATTTTGTGAGGAGAGAAAGGTTTCAAACTATTGACCAAGCCTAATTGACAAGGGAAGGGTCTAAGGAAAGAATTGGAAGCTTTCTTCACCAAAGCTACGCTTATTAGGAAATGGCCACTCTAGCTGGAGGGAGTTCAAAGTATTTTTATATGTTCATTTCCATTTTCTACTTAAACTCTTCTTGGAGTGCCTTATACATGGAAGAGTAGTACTATAAGGTTATGGAAAGGAAAAGGTGCTGGCGCCAGTGGCTTACCTCTGTAATCCTACAAGAGGAGAGATCAGGAGGATCATGGTTCAAAGCCAGCCTGGCAAATAGTTCTCAAGACCCTATCTTGAAAACACCTATCACAAAATAGGGCTGGCGGAATAAATAGCTCAAGATGTAGACCCTGAGTTCAAGCCCCAGTACCATTAAAAAAAAAAAAAAAAAAAAAAGTGAAAGGTAGTCAGTCATGCCAGATAATTTCATGTCGATGATAATTTTATGCCAGATAATTTTATGTGTGGCTGACTTTCAGAGTGCCTCTGTGTGTGAATGAGAGTGTGTGTGTGCACGTGTGTTTGTGTGTGTGTAGTGAAAAAACAAACTATATGTAGAAGTGGACTTAAAAATGTATAGTGTATTTTAGGTGACTATTCTTATTTCAAACACTTTGGTTTGTTATGGGAGCGATAAAATAAGGATAGGGAAGAATAAGAATAAAATGCCATTTACTTTTCCTCTTAACCTTTGCAGCCTGAAGATCCCTGTTTTGCCTCTCAAAATCGTGTGTATAATGACATCGGGAAGGAAATGCTCTTACATGCCTTTGAGGGATATAATGTCTGTATTTTTGCCTATGGGCAGACTGGTGCTGGGAAATCTTACACAATGATGGGTAAACAGGAAGAGAGCCAGGCTGGCATCATTCCACAGGTAAAAATAAGCAGCAAAACCCTCTTTATATCACTGCTTTAGTCTCATATTGCTTTCACAAGTGTTTTTATTTGGCAACTCAGAGCCCAGAGTCTTGTGCATGATGGATAAGTGTGTACCACTAAGTTACACCTCCCGCCCCTTAGTTTTGTTTTTTGATTGCCTTATTCAGAGATACTTTGTTTTAACTTGACAATTTAAACTTTGAAGAGTCTGAGATTTCTTTTTATTAAGAGTGGCTAGTGTTACTTCTTTAAATGTTTTGTTTTGGAATGGAGGAGGTATTTAAAAGAAACTTCATTTTTTTAATAACAAGGCTGTAGTTTGCATTATTAATGACATCTAGGGTTAATTTTAAAGTGATCTTTTACTCTGCATCTAATGCTACTGTTTCTATGTTCTATTATATTATTAGAGTATAATTTAAAATTATGTTATATCATTCAAATGCTTAGTAAAGATTAGGACATTTTCAGAAAAAATGGAACATAATATTAGCAAATATTTTATTAGAAATGTCTATATTAAGACATGTAATTAGAGATTGTCCTTCTTTGTATATAGTAGTAGCAATAATTATTATACTAAGTAGAGAAATCATTATGTAGCATTCACTGTGGACAAGGAAACTGAGGCACACAGAGGACATATCGCTTGATCCAGTAAGTAGCGTTTCAGGGTTAGGGTGTGACAGTGGTAGAACTGTTGCTTAGCATGCAGGAGGCTAAAGAAAAAAGTAAATGACAAAGCCTGGATCCAAGGGCAGGCAAGGTAATTCTGGTGTTTTTACTTTTACCACCAGATAATACCTCTTCAGCAATAAAATTTTTTTTTTTTTTTTTTGTAGGGAATCTAACCTAGGGCCTCACACATACTAGGCAAGTACTCTACCACTGAGCTACATTCCCAGCCCCAAATAATTATTTATAGATTATATAACTTTTGAGCCATGCCTCTAGCCCTAAATGGAACTTTTTATTGAGTCAAAATTATTCTTGCCTACTCCATATAGTATAAATTCTATATATATATGTGTAAGTTTATAATGTATAGTAATTGATAATATGAAACAAATTGCATATAACATCTGTAATATATGTGTGAATATTGTTTAATAGTTTTATTGCTATAGTAATATTGACAGTAGTTGTCACAGTTACTTGAGTATAGTGTGAAGAATTGAATTCACTAAAATTCAGTGTGCCAATGATACAACTCCTCTATAACGATACAATGATACAATGCCTCTGTAAGATGCATGTTTCCTCTTCTTCCCCTAAATCTGGCTTTCTTCTTAGGGAAACAAAATCAAGGTTCTCTTACTGAGGGATAATACAGATTAGATAAGGAGGGTGTATACAAAAATTTTTTTTTTATTTCATTGAAAGCCTTAACCATGCCTTGAGGTTGATGGCATGCATATTTGGAGAGAGAAAGAGAAAGCATGTCTCTCACTCGTCTAGCACATGTAGATAACGCAGTACTTCTGATTTGGGCTGTTCATGCCTTCTCTCATTATACGTCTGTAGTTGTGTGAAGAACTCTTTGAGAAGATTAACGACAACTGTAACGAAGAGATGTCCTACTCTGTAGAGGTGAGTATGGTTGTGGTTGAATTCGCCGGCCTGTGTACTCCCATCCCTCCATCATTTTAAGTGACTTCTAGTTATGACTGTGCTGATATGCTGCTGATCACTTAGCTGTTCCCTCAATTTTGTACTTTTGGACTATTTCTAAGTTTTGGTTGTAATGAATATTGTTGCAATTAAGTCTCTGTTGATAAGTCTGTGCACTTGTTTTCAGTCCTTACTTTTTGTATACATTTTGGTTGTTAAATAATACATTTGGATTGCCAAATAGCCTTGTAGAAAGAAAGGGTGTAACCAGTTTTTAATTCCATCAGAAGGGTGTAGGCACCCATTGTGCCCTTATAAATGTTTTAGTATTTTCACTTTTTAATATCTGCCAATTTGATAAGATGTAATTTCTCTGTTTAAATTTGAATTTCTTTGATTATTATTGTGGTTGACCATCTTGTAAATTATCCACATGTCTATTTACCTTTGGGGAATCACAGTTTTTTTTTTTATTTATATGTGCATACAATGGTTGGGTCATTTCTCCTCCCTTCCCCCACCTCTTCCCTTACCCCCTCTCACCCCCCTCCCTCTCCCCCCCACCCCCTCGATACCCAGCAGAAACTATTTTGCCCTTATCTCTAATTTTGTTGAAGAGAGAGTATAAGCAATAATAGGAAGGAACAAGGGTTTCTGCTGGTTGAGATAAGCATAGCTATACAGGGCATTGACTCACATTGATTTCCTGTGCGTGTGTGTTACCTTCTAGGTTAATTCTTTTTGATCTAACCTTTTCTCTAGTTCCTGGTCTCCTTCTCCTATTGGCCTCAGTTGCTTTAAGGTATCTGCTTTAGTTTCTCTGTGTTGAGGGCAACAAATGCTATCTAGTTTTTTAGGTGTCTTACCTATCCTCACCCCTCCCTGTGTGCTCTCGCTTTTATCATGTGCTCAAAGTCCAATCCCTTTGTTGTATTTGCCCTTGATCTAATGTCCACATATGAGGGAGAACATGTGATTTTTGGTCTTTTGGGCCAGGCTAACCTCACTCAGAATGAAGTTCTCCAATTCCATCCATTTACCAACGAATGATAACATTTCGTTCTTCTTCATGGCTGCATAAAATTCCATTGTGTATAAATACCACCAATCTGCCTCTGCTTCCTTAGTAGTTAAAATTATAGATGTGTGCTATCACACCTGGATAACATTCTGTCTTTCTTGTGTGTGTTTTATGAAGCTGTTATACGCACACACACACTTTTTTTTGGTGTTCAGTTTCATAGTATTTGAACTTTAGTATTAACATGAGGCTACTGTTCTGAGAAAGTGAGCTGCCTTTTAAGCATATTCTAATAATTTTATTTTTTAGTTTTTGGTATGTGTTGTGATTTTCTATAGGACTTAACACAAATCTAGTTGCTCCATTTAATTGCTTTGAACTTTTTTCTTTACCGATAAAGTACTACATAAATTTCTAAATTTTAGAGAATTCTTTAAAAAGAATGACTTTTATGACTGTCATACACCAAAGGGGAATATGCTCTAAGAATACTTTTGTGTTGCAGTAAATTTTCTAGGTATCTTGTCTCAGCCTAGACCTATTCCTTTTTGAACATACAGGCCACAAAAGAAGATACAGTCTTCTTTCACGTTAGTCAGCGTTCACAGGCTCGTTTGGAGCAGATCAAAGATCCCCAGTAGATACCGCTTCCTTGCCACATTTCCTGACCTGCTTTCCTACTTTCCCTGTTTGTTCCAGACATAGTGACTTTTTTTTTTTTACACTTTTCTAGAATATACCAGCAGTATTCCTGCCTAAGGGTCTTTACATTAACTGTTCTTCTTCCTAGCTATCTTTTTTTTTTGTATGTAATTTAATTTAAAAAAATTTTAAATTTATTTTTTATTTTTGTAGTGCTGGGAATCAAACTCAGGGCTCCACATATGATAGGCAAGCGCTTTACTGCTGAGCTTTACCCCCAACTCTATTTTAAATTTTTTTGCAGGGTTCAGATTGAACCTACAGTCTGCCACATGCCAGGCAAGTGCTCTACCTCTGAGCCACACGTCAGCCCTTCCTCTGAATATCTTCTTGACTTTTCACTCCTCCTTCAAGTCCTTGCTCATGTCTCTCTCTCAGTGAGACTTCCCTTGATCACCATGTTTAATAATGCAACTTGCCTCTACCCCAGCACTCCTAAGTTGCCCTTTGCCTTCTTCTCTTTATCTTTTTCCTGTAGCACTCACCATGTTCTAACATACTGCACAAGTTACATATTTTTTATGTTTGTTGTTCACTGTCAGTCAACATTGCTTGAATCATAAGCTCACTAGGGCAGGTATCTTTGTTTCATTCATTGTTATCTGCCAAATGACTACAGCAGTGGCTGAAAGATTGTAGTGTGCAGTGAATTGGATTCGTCAAGTGGGGTCTATAATGGTTGATATAGAAGCAAAAGACATGGTAATGGCTTTAGATGGATTCGTGTTGTAGAAAACAAGTAATGAAGCATGTTAGCCTTCACTCAGGTGATTTGAGTTCTCTCAGTCTCACACTTAGGTGAGATTCAGGATTCAGGATTGTATGAACAAGTTTTAAGTGGACAGGAATGATTAAAATACCATCTTACTTTCTAGGATGACTTGTTCTTAGAAATAGTACTTGTCCTATTGTTTTAATCTTATGATGAATTGATTACTTATCTTTCAAGGTTCTTAACTTTTTAACTGATTTTTTTTTTAGAAAGTAGAAAAACAGATCAGAGACTGAAAGAAAAAGGTAATAGGAATGGAGATACATTTCAGAGTGCATTTTAAGCACTCTGAAAAATGCATCTGTAAAGATTTTAAATTGAAGGAGCTTCTATTGTGTACTTGAATAGCTCAGTGATACAGGAGAAGCTGATTCCTGGGATGCATCATAATGTGGCCTGCTATGGTGGATTTAATGCATTTCAGAGCCTGTGTGCCTGGAAGTGTGACTTTGTAAATGTATCCTTCAAACTCAGCCTGTTGGGCTGAGGATGGTAGCTCAGTGGTAGAGTGCTTTCCTAGCGTGCATGAAGCCCTGGGTTTGATCCCCAGCACTGCAATAAATAAATAAACAAACAAATAGATTAAATTAAAAAGTCGTACTCTTTTTGTTTTTTTTTTTGTTTTTTTTTTTTTTTTTTGGTGCACTGGAGTTTGAACTCAGGGCCTCCCACTTGCTAGGCAGGTGTTCTACCACTTAAGCCACTCCACCAGTGAGAGTCATACTCTTGAGTGAAACTTAATTGTCTAATGTTACGAAAACAACATATTGGTTTGTTACTTTCCCACAAAGAATAAATATTACCCAGACCAGAATGTTCACATATACAAGACTCGTATATTACCTTTCTGTGAATAGAGTGCTGTTGGAACCCTGATGGTTCTTTGGTGAGAATGGAATTAGAGGGAGGGGAGTTAAATAGGTAATATTTAATTGCCTCAGGTTAAGAAGCAATAGCCTGATTCACTTATCACCATGATAGGAATGATCCTGCTAATGGGATTAGAATTATTTCATTTTTTTGGTGACACTGGGGTTTGCACTCAGGGTCTCTACTTGCTAGGCAGGTGCTTTTAATGCTTGAGCCACTCTGCCAGCCATGTTTGAGTTGGATTTTTTTGAGATAGGGACATGCCAACTATTTGCCTGGGCTGGTCTCAAGTGGTGATCCTCCCGATCTCTGCCTCTGGAGTAGCTAGGATTACAGGTGTGACTGGCGCCCAGCTAGAGATAACCTATTTTCTACTTCATTTTCCCTCCTAAGAAAGTCTGGAAGCTAGTTCTAACCTAGGCAGTGTGATACTTATGTATACTATTTATAGAATAAAAGGCCTAAACTATGACATTTTACTTTGTAAAGGTTGTGTTGCTTTCTAGTCACATAGCTTTTATAAGTTTTTTTCTTTTTAATGAGATAGTGTCCCTCATATATAACCTAGGCAGGCCTACTGTATCAATATTTGGTTCTTTGTCACTGCTGATGGGTACAGATGTGTACCACCATGCCTGGCTTTATAAAAGTTTTTAAAAACCTTTTTTGCTATATGTGATTTATTTTTCTAAGTACTTTAATTAGCTTTAATAAATCCAAAAAAACAAGGGTAATTTGCGTGTACGTGAACACCCACTTCTTGGACCCTATGTGGAGGATCTGTCAAAACTGGCTGTTACTTCCTATACAGACATTGCTGACCTCATGGATGCTGGGAACAAAGCCAGGTATAGTAGGAAATAGAGCAATGGTGGAGGTCTCTGGCACGTTTTGAAGTCCTTTGTTTATAGTTAAGGGGTTCTGGCCACATTTGTAGCTAGGAAAGTTGCTGCAGTTGTGGAGTCTTGATCTTTTAGCTAAAGTGGAAAGTTGTGGGCTTCAGCATATTAGAGTATCTTTCGCCTCTTAAAACTGCACTGCTGAAACAGGTTAGAACTTTGATTGTGTTTAACTCCTAGGCTTTAATTAAGTCATGGTAAGATGTTAGTCATCATGTCTATATGAGGCTATGGTAGTAATTGATTCTGGAATAAATAAGTTCCTAATAAAGAATAAAAATTAAATGCTCTGGTGGTTTCTAAAGGGTTAGCTGGAGTATGAAAAATGATTCTAAGGGGTGCCTTCAGAGCCAGAGGGTAGTGATGGGGCTCACAAATGAGGCAATATAGAGAGCAGTTGTGTAAGTGACAGTCTTTCGGTCTTATGAATATGTTTAAGGTTAATGCTTGTGATTGTTATGCTTATAATGTGGAGCTGCTGTCCTTGCTAACTCTTATGTAAAAATTTCTTTGTCATGTGATCACCTTTATATTTATTTAGGACAGTGGCAGCTACTAACATGAATGAAACAAGTAGCCGTTCCCATGCTGTCTTCACCATTGTTTTCACCCAGAAGAAACATGATAGTGAGACCAACCTTTCTACTGAGAAGGTAGGGGAACTTTGGTGTCTAGACTTGAGTTGTGAATGGTGGGAATTTTGAGAAGCCTCTTTTCCTGTCCTCTGCATTTTGTGGAGGGAGGAGAATGCTCTTTCATTTAATGGAGGGTGTTTGTAGCCTCTGTGGTCATTTTTTTTCTACATCACACCAGTTTTCAACATGGGTTCTTAAATGAAATAGCAAGATTGAAAATAAAGTTAAGGAAAAAAGAA